GTCTGCTCCTCATAATGTCTTTCACATTCACAAATGAAAAGTTTTTTTTACATAGTTTTCTTTGTTTTATCAGAGTTAACTACCCTATGCATACTTTTACTTTTACTTTTACCGTACTAACATACAGTTTTCCGTTTGCTAAGCATGCTGTTGAGATCACATGCTACAGGTGAGATGGGGAAGGTTTCCCAGAACGGTTCCAGGGACATTTTTGTGCCGATGCAAAGTTTATACAAATTTATGCAAATTAATAGTGCACCGTCCAACTCAAAGCATTGATTTCCAAGGTTTGGAAACCACCTGATTCAACGGAGCAGGCAGTCAGAGAGCTAAAACAATGATTCAACAGTTACTTCCCTCTAGTCAACTTTGTGGCAGAAAGAATTCATGCGTTTTAATATATTTTAAAAGCCAGGTTTTATTGTGATCCCAGCAATGCTATGGATGCTGTCAGAGCAGAAGTAATTGTCTTGAGTGCCAGAATTATTTTGGAAGTTCAGCTTTTTAGCTTATGTAACATTGAACTGCAATGAGAGGCTCACATACTCCCTTGTACGCACTGTTACCCAAAGGTGCCACTGGACTATGGATAGGATGCAAGAAGGAGCTCCCTGATAAAGGCTAAATTCATTTTGTTGATCCTAAACCAGGGCAGTAGTATAATAGATTATATATATATATATATATATATATATCCACTGAGCCCAAAATGCTGAGAGAAACTGATGGACTACCAGTTGTAACTTGCATATTAATTACTAAGGATGGGCACAATAGCAAAACCAAAGAAATGTAAGGTTCACTATGGGGCGCAATAGTGCATGAGGGTGCAAATGGTGCAAATCCATTAGTAACTACTAATTAGTAACTGTGTATTAGGCATTAACAACATCCATGACCACAGAGGTGATTAAATCGGAGGTTTGTTGATTTTTAAATGGGCGGGGTTCACATGACAGAGACTCAGGCGTACTCAAAGCTTAGTTTCCAGCAGAGACTGTACACTGGTACACATGGAAATAAGAGATTACTGATGTTAAAAAAGTCCAATTTCAGTCGATACCACCGATTCGTAATTCAGTCTGAAACTAAACATCTACGAAAACTACTTGGTCAGAAACATAGTGGTAGGTGGGATGAGCCTAAGTCACAGATGTTTGTTAAAGCAGCACCCTGTGGACAGAAGTTGTGTGCGTGTGAGTCTGTGTGTGTGTGATATAGGATGCATGCATTCCAGCCCTCACCACCCCCCTTCTCTCAAACTCCTACTGACCCATTGTGTCGGGGGTGCTTTCCTCTTATCCTTGCCCTTGGCCCTACATGGCCCCTGAGCACCCACCCATCTTGCTGGAAGGGAGGTGGCGTTGGGTCAGTTGTGGTGCAGGACACACACATACGGGGACACACACACGCACACACACACAGTTCGATCCCCGCCTTTCTGTGTTCGCGGATCACTTCACAGGACAATCTCCCTATCCATCTTTGCAGGGTCATTGTCGACCTGCCCTCAACTGAGAAAGGAGCTTCATTCACAAGAAAAAAAAAAAGCCTCCTTCTCTGCCTTCTCTCTTTCAGTGTGTGAGGGAAGCCCTCACACACTGTGTGTGCTATTGGAGGTCATATTTAGAATATGAAGAGACATCAGGACTTCAAAGCTGGACACAGAATGTGGGTGAAGACAAATGTCACCACTTCAACACCCTTGCAAACTCGCCAGCAGCATTGCTTGAAGCTGAAAAGTTAGTCAAACTAACTGGTATTTTATATGACATACTGGCGGCCCAAATACTGACATACCATTCAAAATTAGCGCAAAGACAGTAATCTATACCAGCGCTATGACACACAACCACTATGCAGTCCCAATATGTTGTGTTGTCATTTTTTATTAATCCATCTAAATGAAAATAGTGTGTCTCTGTGGACTTGTTTAACCCAGGAAATGTATTTTAGTGGTATAGAACAGGAAAAAAGTATAATTTCATATCTGCTGTGGTAGGAACTTTTCTGTCAAAGCACACAGTCTCTATAAACTGTTAAAATTAAATTAGGTCCACACTATATGGTCTAACATTGCCAAAACACACTGGTGTCACAACAGTAACCTAATGGTTTCTACTGGTGCCTTAGGCATGCTGGACTTGTATCAGCTGTCTCTCTGAATAGAAAGGCTAACTATTTAGGAAATGGAATAGAAAAGAAATGGCCATTATTGTTCCACATAAGGGGAAATTCCAGTGTAACCGCAGCAAAAAAGTGCAAAATGGAAAAGCGAAGCACTACAACAGTGAATGAATAGCTTAAGAAGAAGCCATACGATATGTTATAATACTTTGTATTATTTACAATAATTCAGTCTTTTTTTGTAATGAGTTTCAAAGATATAGATCTAATCCGTCTTTCTCTCTGTTCTTTGCTGTGCTTGCATTGATGCCACAAATATAACAAAAAGGCCAACAAAATGTTAACATATTTTTCAAACATTGGTAGGTGAGATTGGACAAAAAAACATCTGTTTAAAGCAGTCATTGATAGGTTATTACATTTTCAGGAAACCCTTTTTCATTTGTGGTTATGAAGGATCAAATAATTACAGATGGTGGACCTGATTCTGTCTGAAGTTTGGTGCTTCTATCTCCAGCTCCTTCACATATCAAAGGCTTTTTGTGACACTGCAGGACGACCAAGTCCTCTTAGTCCCTGGTATGCTGATCTAAAATGATAAACACTAGGGTGAAAACGTTCCCCTATGTGTGATAATGAAGCCTTGATATCTATTTTGTACACTGGGACTGGACAGTAGCTGATGGGGAGTCTTAATCCAGCTGCTGGTTTCATGTCAGCTGCCGACTGTCCCTTTAAACGCCCCTCCGCTGTTACCATAAAGCTACTAGAAGAGCCTCACTTCAAAAGTCACATGCTCAGGCTCTCTTTGTTTCCCACAGAGGGCTTCTATCTCTGTGCAGAAAAGAGAGGAGAACATTCCATGCGGCTGACAAAAGTTACACAAAAAGGGAATTTAGAATAACTCCTGGTTTCAGTGTTTTATTTTGGGGTGTCCGTCCACATAAATCAGTAGTGTTCGACTCCATATTTGAGAATTTAGAACATAAGTTAAATCAAATATCGAAATGAGAATGAACTTTTAAATCATGAGGAAATATGACAAAAACACCTTGAAAACTTAAAGGTTGTCAAGCAACAACACATCCTATCAAGGGGAAAATGAAACAATTTAAGAGAGTTGTGGACCCACTGGGGAAGCACCCCTTTAAATTATATCTATGCACAAGTAATGTAGAAATGAACCATAACGGTTTTTAAAACTTTCTCTGAATATAAAGTGAAAGTGTAGTAAAGAAGTTTTGGAAAGATGAGGGAATCTACAGGATCCTCATGCATGTAAATTCAAATCAAATGTGTATATTGTCATGCTGATGTGTAGCCCTCCACAGGTTTTACGGTAGTCAACCCCATAGCCCAGAGAGGAATTCCAGGAATGTGAAAAGCTCTGATTCAAATTGAAACTAGATTAAAATGTGCCCACTTTTACACTTTGAAATTTTAAGCAAAGCTGCAAAACATGTGGCCAATGAGTGTCTCCCTGATGAGCTTTGATGGACTGTTAAAATGCCGTCTGACTAAATCTACCGTTGTACTTTCTGAGGTCTTAAAAAGTTTTCCAGCGGTTGAACAAAGCAGCAGAAAGCTGTCAACAGAAAATATCCGCTTTCTTTCTTTGAAAGTCTCCGCCAAAGGACTTTGATAGGGGTTATCAATACTGTGTCAACCTTTCCAGTGAAATGAACTTTTCCCCACATGAAGAGTTACACCAACGTCTGCCTAGTAACAGCAGTTCCTCCCATTGGTGCAACTCCAGTCTCCTCCCGTCTATGATAGCCTGACAGTGTGTGTCACCAACAGTCTGTAAATTTCACTATTTGCATAAAATTTCATCTCGATTCTAAAAAGATCCTATTGATTTTTCTGACTGATTTTAAGTTAATTCAACTCTTACATCCCGCCCTGAGTGGGCTGCAGTTCTACAGAGATACAGAGTTTTATCATGAGGCTAAAAAACTACATGTGCCCTCTAAAATAAAGTTCTAAAATAAAGAGTTCTTTTGTTCTGACATAAACAATCATGTTCAAATGCAAGCAGACATTTTGTACAGGGAATGGGGTCCATTCCATTTCCAGGCCTCCAGTTGTCAAAATAATACTAGTTGATACAGCTTTTCTTTGTACTAGTACAATTCAGGATCTACATGAAGTGTCTTATAACAAAAAGAAAAAGTTTACTTCCGTTATGTTTATTTACAGGTCTGAAAGTGTAGCCGTGTGTACAGCACTTCCCCTTAAATTGGATGAATGGATGAGGCAGTTTTTTCCCCCTTTCTTCCATGTGCTCGCCTCATGTTTGCTGGGAGAGTCGCTGCTTTCATTCAGTCGCGGGGGAGACACGGGAGCGGAAGGGAGGAGGGCTGTTATCGCCCCCTACCGACAATAAGAGACCACCCCCCCCCCCCCCCTTACCCCCCCCCCCCCCCCCCCCGCCCGGCCCGCCCACAGACCCCCCCCCCCCCCCCGCCCCCCAGACTCGGCCTCGGACCTCCCACCTCCTCTCAGAAGCTACCAGGAGGAGGGGGAGGTGCAAGGGGAGGTCTTCAGGTCTTCCCTGTGTGCTTCCTTCTCTCTCTCCCTGTGTGTGTGTGTGGGTGCGCATGCGTGCGCGCGCGTGCGTGTGAAAATAATGATAGATAGATAGATAGATAGATAGATAGATAGATAGATAGATAGATAGATAGATAGATAGATAGATAGATAGATAGATAGATAGATAGATAGATAGATAGATAGATAACTCCATTCCTCCTTTTTGCAGACTTGGTGTCTCTTTGATCCCCTTCTTAACAACAGCTGACGTCATGAGCCATCAACGTGCGCGTGCGCGTCCGGCAGCGCGCGGAAGGGTTTTTGTCCGGCGCACCGAGGCGTCTGAGCCTCAGAGGGCTCGCGCACACCAAAGGAGTAACAGCACGCGGCAGCAGCCCAGCGAGAAGAAAAAAGCGGTTCTAAGGCTCTCCGTTCTGCAGCCCTCTGCTTTCTGCCCGCCTTCACGGTCAAGCTCCGAGGCCCGAAAAAAGACCCCCACCTGGCTGGCAGTTGTTATAAGCTATTCACGGCGCGAGTATTATGGAGGACCAGCTGCTGTGCTGCGAGGTGGACTCCATCAGGAGAGCCTACCAGGACGTCAACCTGCTCAACGACCGTGTGCTGCACACAATGCTGAAGGCGGAGGAGAACTACCTGCCGTCGCCCAACTACTTCAAGTGCGTTCAGAGAGAAATTGTGCCCAAAATGAGGAAAATACTAGCCACCTGGATGCTAGAGGTTGGTCATCCCCACTTTAACTTTTTCCGTCTGTAAATGAGTAGCGGGGGCAGCCGTAAAGGGGAGGGTGTTGGGCTCGCGCTCGAACCCGAAATCCCTATCCATCAAGGTTAATTCGAAAGTTTTAGGCTTTTCTCATATGTTACTAACTGTCGTGTTCCTCTACGTGCGACTTAAAGGTTCTGGAAAGTATGTCCAGAGCAGTGATGGATGGGTCCTTCGCCTTTAGCAGCGACATAGTCCACTAATGTTTTTCCCCGCTGTGAAAACCTTCTGAGTCCTTATTCCGTTGCTTATACTTTCCAGAATCTTATTAAAAGTGATAAGAAGACATTTTTTTCTCGAAATAACAGCGATGTACACGTATGCAGTCTGGCCCGTGCCAGTAGCTTATTACGCGCCATCTTTGTTGTCGGCTATGAGGGACGATTTTAATATCAATAAAAAAATCCACGCGGCCAAAAGCGATGACAGCAAAGCGGTCGGGTAAAGCAGAAATGCGTCTTCCCCGGGGGGTCGGTTGGAAAATGGGGGGTGAAGCCGTTTCGGCTGGTGCTAGCTGGTAAAGTTTGTTTTGCTCCCGAAGAGCCAGCGCCGTCAGCGAAGGTCGCCGCCAAAAAACGGGACATTTCCACAAGTTCCCGAACCGATCGACGACTCTAACCGGTCGGTTTTGATAGGGGACACCTTTTAGAAGATTTACATCAACTTTTGGATTGAATTCTGCGCCGCTTTCTATTTTTTATTAATTTCCGAAGGAGCGCGCGGGGGGATCGGGGGAAGGGTCGCGTGCAGCACGTGAAGAAACCTGCTCTGAAAAATCCTTTTAAAAAAAAATCCCTGTCACTCTTATCGGGCAAATCTTATCCCCATCCGATTAGGAATTTGATGAGGATCATTTACATGCCAGTTGTGCGAAGCCAGATAATTTTTAAATATTTCTAATTATTTTTTGAAAAGATGACGAAGTTGAAATTAGAGAGTGAAACTTGCACCGACGCCACCTTTGTGTCTCGGTCAGAACTGACTTGTTCACTTAATTCCCGACTATTTTCACGACTACGACCCATGCTAGAATCGGAACTTTTAGAATAAATAAAATCTTTTGCACGATGGCCCTTCTGTGATTTCGGTTTCATGGCAAAAAAAAAAAAAAAAAAAAAATGGAACTCGCAATAAACGTCTAAGTCGAGCCTGGGAACTTAAAGGCGAAATTCAAAAGCGGGGAAAAAAAATAAAAATTAAATAAAAAAACACGTTTTAGTCCTTTCAATTTCGTATGCGATGTTTGTGGTCTCCAAAGCTATTTAATGCAAACAGCTGTGCGCGTACAAGGACAGTCATGGGGAGGGGGCAGTGGGGGGGAGGCTTGGTAATGCTCATGAATGGAGGACTTTTCTCACTTGCAAGCGCCAGCAATCTCTAAAGCTTCTCTTCTCCTCTCATGTAGGTCTGCGAAGAACAGAAATGCGAAGAAGAGGTTTTCCCGCTGGCTATGAACTATTTGGACAGATTTTTATCCGTGGAGGCGACGCGGAAAACGCGACTGCAGCTGCTCGGAGCTACGTGCATGTTTCTGGCATCCAAGATGAAGGAGACCGTACCCCTAACGGCGGAAAAGCTCTGCATCTACACGGACAACTCGGTCCAGCCCGGAGAACTGCTGGTAATTGAGCTCCGCAGACATGGATGTTACATAACGCATACATTACACGATCAGCATGCACCCGGAGGCCACATGACCGGACCAGGGGTGCTCTGGGTCATCCCAGCTTTGTCAACTCTGCGCAGACATCGATACCCCCCACCCCAAACCCCCAACGCCCCCAAAACGAGTTGTGTGATTGAAATAAAAAATAATTTTAAAAAAAGGTAGAAACGTGCAGCGGTGTCTGAATGGCTGCCTGTTACTTTCCCATGGCGACATGGAAGGCCTCTCAGATTTCATGAATGATCTCAGGAAGCCGCCCCCGGTGCGCGCGGGGTTTGCAGCGGCCTCTGGCGGCCGCGGGCCGGCAGCGCGCGAGCGGAGGCTGGACAATGAGCGGGCCCCTCCGTTGGGCACGTTTTTCCTAACCCCTAACACTTTGACAGCCCTACCCTGTCCAGTCACGTACTCCCACCGGACGGCGGCCCGCTGACCAATGCTGTCGGCTAATCTGCCTGTTTAACTTTTCCGAGATATGGAAGTTTGAAAAATGTTAGCACCGTATTTTAACAGAGAAACTACTTTCTCACAAGGAAAAAAGTGGCTATGAAGCAAAGAGTTGAGCACATACCCATTCTAATACAACCCTAATTATTTCATGCATAGTAATTCTGCAATTATGATAGCCAATCACGGGCCCCGAACCCTAATCTCAAACCAGATGTGAGGATGAGGGTGTATTTCTCGATATGTTGTGCAGCTTTTCATTCGTGCTTCTGGTCCGTTTGCAGCAAATGGAGCTTCTGGTCCTCAACAAGCTGAAGTGGGACCTGGCCTCGGTCACCCCTCACGATTTCATCGAACACTTCCTGTCCAAACTGAAGATCTGCCCCTCCACCAAGCAGATCCTCCGCAAGCACGCTCAGACCTTCGTGGCCCTCTGCGCTACAGGTAAAGGATGTGGCCTCTCAGGCCCCCGCGCATGCGTCCATACACCAGACTAATTTATACAGGCCCAAGTGGACTTGCCTACTTGTTAATAACTGTGTAATTAGCCATGAATTGATGTGAATATGAGGCATATTCAGTTGCTACGCTATTTTTGTCTATTCTTTGAGGGATCTTGTATGATCACAGCATGCCTAAAAAATATATATAATAAAAAAGTGATTGTGTGATTAAAAATGATTTGTCTGTTTCAACAGATGTCAACTTCATAGCCAGTCCTCCATCGATGGTGGCAGCAGGCAGTGTGGTGGCAGCCGTTCAGGGGCTCTACCTGAAGAGCCAAGACGTCTCCCTGTCCTCTCAGAACCTCACCAACTTCCTGTCGCAAGTCATCCGCAGCGACCCGGTAAGGAGACTCGACTCGACCCCCCCCCCCCCCCCCTTACGACGTTTGCGTCTCCGTGCAGCGCCTAACGCGGCCGGCGTGTGTGTTTTTTTCCCAGGACTGCCTGCGGTCGTGTCAGGAGCAGATCGAGTCCCTGCTGGAGTCCAGCCTGCGGCAGGCCCAGCAGCACGGCGGCCCGGCGGAGAGCAAGCGCGTGGACGAGGAGGTGGACCTCTCCTGCACGCCCACGGACGTCAGAGACATCAACATCTGAAGCGCCCCGGCACGGCCCGCCGACCGACCGTCAAGAGGAAAGGTGTGATCAGAGGGCCGGGGTCGGGAGGGGGCTGCCTCGGCCGAACGCGCCCCCCCCTCCCTCCCTCCCCCTGGTCATTTCGGGCTGCTATTTGGCCGATATGTCGCTCACATACCTGCCGTCCACTTTGGCCGAAGTGACATTCCCTGCCAGTGCCCCCCAAACCTCCCCACCCCCATCCCCCTTCGGGATAAGAACTGAACACTATGGAAATGTACCAGAGAGAACAGACAATGAATCCTGTCGATGGGTGTGGGCTGGAGTTAACGCCACACACAGATATGAATATAAATGTTCTCCTTTTACTCTCACATATTAAACTAGGAATCTTTAAATTGCAGCAGACCTAACTTGCCTACTGAAACATCCCCAAGTCTCACTCACAGTAGGTTGGCTGTGGTCTGCGTCCAGCTCTTCAGCCGAGCGCCGACCCTCATATGTTTTGTTTCCATCTCCTTTGTATTATACTCTGAACGATGTCCCGACTTCCCATGTTTGTCCTGTAGTGCAGACATTCATTTATCCCCCGCTTGCTTATGTTTAGTCACTTTATCGTGTCATTTTAGTCATCATTTAGTCTTATTCTTCTTCTACTCCAAGCGTTTAGGGGTTTCCTTTTTTTTAATTAAAGCCAGTGTAGTGGGTGATGCTCTGTTTTTAAGACCCTTGACACTACGGGCTGCTAATGTGGACTCATGGAAGTCTTGTTCATTACTTGACGACATTCATTCTGAACAATGTCACCCACAACGATTCCCGCTTTGAGGATCAGTCCACAGTTTTGCTGGGTTTTTTTCTTTCTCCGGGTAGTTAGACCTAAAAAAAAAAAAAAAAACATTCCGATGTCGTTTTTCTGGAGAAAAAAGAAAAAGAAAAGTTAAAAAAGAAGCACTTTTAGTCAGCGACGCTGGCTCCGCAAAAAAAAAATGTCACAGTGATGAGGTCGGTAGAGTAATCTGAATGTGGTGCTGGTGGGGATGCGGCGTCGCGGATGTGGCCGCACCCCGGATCGGGTCTAGCCGAGCGGACTGAGTGCTGCTGGTCTCCCTTCAGCAGTGTTTTATACCGGCAGAGCTGCTCGGACATCTTCACAGATACCTGACGTTTTATAGTCCAGCCTCAGCATGCGTAGCCAAAGGCTAAAGGTGAAAAAAAGGATGTATGGTTTCTAGAGTTGAGATAAGGCTTTATTTTTTATAAAGTAAAACATATTATTTATTTTTATAGCTGGCATCTGATCACCGGACTCAAAAAAAAAACAATGAGCTTCTCACTTCCAGATCAGCCCTGCGGCTTAGAAAAAGGTTGTAAAAAACTTCAGCCAGGACAGCGTCTGCCCCCGACACCCGACCTCAGTCTGGACACTTGGAAAACGGATGACACGTCGAAAAAAAGAGGCTATCGACGTGATTTTTGCACAGACCTTAATAAAAAAAAGACGTGGGCTTCATTTTTTTGAGGGGGGGACTAGCCTAAAAAGAGCTGAGGGGTGAAAAAGAGGCAAGAAAAGGGTGAAGGCTCACTGGTCAGGTGTGTCCTGTAGCTGTAGAGCTCCAGACAGGGCTCCCACACAGGGTGCCCCCCCCCCCCCCACACACCCCCCCACCCGAAGCAGAGAGAATCAGGAGGGGGCGCCAAGCTGTTCGGGAAGCCTGTCCACTAGTTTTCTGATTGTAAATTAAGGATAGAAATTAGGAGGGAAACACTCCTTGTATTCCGCTGCTATAGGAAATAAAATCCCAGCTACGTGTTTAAAGAAAAAAAAAAAGAAAAAAACATGACAAAAATAAGGATTTTAAAACAATGCTTTTCTCCTGTTGTTTGCTGCTACATTTTTTTTTGTTTTATTTGTCTGTTTTATACACATACATGTCAATATACTGCCATTCTAGGTTTGAATTTTCTCATAGAAAATTGTGTTATTGACATCCTCATTTGTTTTGTGTAGATTCTATGTGATCGTTTTTGTTCTGTTTTTTTTTGTTTGGGTTTTTTTTTTGTTTATAATTTCATAATATGATTCTCCAAACTATTCCAAGAAAAAACAAACAAAAAAAAGGAATAATTAGACATTGTACAGATATGTGTTGATCCACAATACCTCACGCGACAGTCAAGATTTATCTCTAATTTTTTTAGTGGTTTTTATTTGTTTAGCTATTCTATTCTACTTGTTGGTTCAGTGCCAACCAGCTGTGTTAAACCTGCTTAGGGTGAATCATCGCGATGGAAACAAGCGCGTCCAGGGCATGCTTTGATACTGGTGCCATAACAGAAAAATGGAATATGTATAACTCTGTTGAGTGTTAAGCTGTCTCAGTGAAAGAGACTTTACCCCCTTTTAGGCCCCTGGGGGCCTCTCTTCCTCCCCCCCTTTTATATTTATAAAGAGAAAGGCTTTTGTGCTCCAATTTTCAAACTGTCAATGAGTTGATTTGAGTTTGTACATAGATTCGGCGTCATGCTCAGTAAGCCATAGACTGTATTGTTGTTCTCACAAATCATTCCACAACAGCTGTGTCCACTTCATGCCAGTTGCCTGCAGCTGGACGCTGTATTCCTCTTTGTGTCAACAACACAATAAAGACATGAATTAGATGGAGTGCGGGAAAAAAAAAGCGATTGTCTTTTCTTTGTCTGGAGCCAAAAAGGAGCAGAGGTTGGACTGGAACGAGCCGCGGTCAGACTGACCTGCCTGCCAGGAGTTTTCCATCTCCTGAAGTCCACCAGCACCCCCCCCCCCTCCCTGGACAAAGTTATAGACAAGAGGAGACGCTCAGGTTGTAGCCGAGGGATGCTGAACTCTACCTGCTGTAGGTGGAGGCCTGGCAGTGGCTGCATCATGATATGGGCGGTTGTGTTCTAAAGCAAATCCAAATCCAATATAGAAAACCTCTAGACCTTATTAAACTAAACTGAAAAAAATGACTTGAAAGCAAATAACTACTGCAATTCTATCATGGTAAATTCTGCTTTGAAATAAATATATGAAAACAAAAAATTAAAGCCACCAAATACTAAACTTGGGCTAAATTCATTACACAATTTATGAATATACTTAATCAAGGACCAAATACATTTGAGTAATACCCATAAAACTGGATCAAAAATACCAAAACAAGGACGAGACTTCATGTGTTCTAAGATTCTGAATTATGGCCACTGACATGATTTGAAGTTGTAGATCGGCACCGAAATAGACTAAACGCGTAAGGGTTCGTTAAATCTGTGAAGAGACCAGTTCTAAAGCTTTGAGACCAGCTGATCATTTGGTTTCTGAGATCTCGGACAGATAAATGTGGCCACAAAGGGAGCAAATTCCACTATTTTTGCTTTGGTTCCTCTTGAACACAAAGTAAAGAAATAAAAAAATGGCTTTTGATGGATTACACTATTCAGTGTTTTATGTTTTAGGCTCTAGCACCCAATGCTATTCCTCCCTTCAACTAAAACAGTGTTCATTGAATTTTTTTAGGGGGAATTATTAGTGTTAATGTGCTTTTTAGACATACAGTATGTCAGCATGTGTTATTTGAAATGACCAGTGGTGGGCCCGTCAGGGCCTGCAAGGCCTTCTCTGCTGGCCTAAGAAAATATCTGAATCACAGACTGATGTTAATTATATTTAGTCTATGAATACTTATTAAATATCTCTAAATGGTCTGTCCGCTTCCTTTCATAGCTTTTCCCCTGGTTGTGCCGCTTCCAGACATGCATTTTCATATTAAAGCATTTAACCAATCACATTTCAGCCATCATTTGTTGCTAGGCAGGGTCACAGTCAAAGATGACTGCCTGGAGGCCTTCACAATCCGTACTGCGGGCCCTCTAACAGAAAATAAATGTTGATCAAACTGTTGCTTTAACATCACCGTATTCACACACGCTGATTGGATAGTCAGATAGCGTACCAGCCAAAGATAGCAAACGAACCCAAATATAGTTGTGTTGGTGTAATAGCTATTTTATCACCCCGCAATGGCTGAATGAAGAGAAAAATTGATTTGGTGGCAGACTTAAAGACAAAGCCATTTTCAGGATGGAGTTTTCAATAAAAGTGGTTAAAATGTTGCTTTTTTCCTAATTAATATTGCAAGTTTATGAGGATATTATGAGAGGACACGTGTTTTCGGATCTAAGAAGAGAAGCTGATTTAAAACGTTTCCAGTCTCCTGATTGCTTCAATAACTCAGATAAGTGTGAATAGGTTCGAATGTGATGTACCTACTTAATGTCAGTTACCAGATGTAAAAAATATGGTGCAAACAGAAAACATATTTTCGATGGAAGAGGTTTTTCCTACCTGGGTATTTTTGAGATTTTCTTCTTTTGACATTGGCTTCATAACAGAGTTTACCTATCAATAAGAAATTAGCAACACCTCAGTGGGTATGTGACTGTATTCTTACGCTTCAGTCAAAGCTAGAGAGGAGAAATTAAATACAGTCAAATTAAAGACACTGATCTGGTATGAAAGACTGTTTGTGATCAGGTAAAACCAGCCATGGACATGCAGACTCAACAAAGAAAGCCCCCCATTTCAAACACACTAAGTCGTCTTGGACATTATATTTAAACTCCAGCTGTTTGAATGAACCTGTGATGCTCTTGTTATAATCGTTAATATTCATTTTATATTATTTCGGCTGGGCCATCATCATCCATCCCCCCAGGAATTTGACAGAAAGACCTCAGCTTAGTACACAACGCTCACAATTTAGAGTCTATAATTAAGCTAACATGTATGTTTTTGGATGGGAGGATGCTCGTACTGTGAGGCAACAGTATACCAATAGTATCATAGTAAAAAAAATTATGATATGAGAGGATTTAAAACACACAGATGATCCAAATGAGGAACAGCAGCACAATTTTGGCAAAGATGGCTGAGCAATGAGAACTTTTCAATGATATGCTTGTGCATTTAGCACAAAAAGCTAATTCACAGCATAATTTTTTGGTAAAAAAAAGTCCCCTCTTTGTGCCCATGCAGCACCGTGGAGGCACTGTGGAGACATCTCAGCCAGAACTTCTGCACCAGCATGGTTGATGTGTACAAACTTGCCTTCATTGTCTCTAGGTATTGTGTTCTTTGGGTCATTACTCTCAAACAATGTGGTTTCTGAAACACAGAGGAAGCACACTGAAGACCAACAACATGTTAGGGCCGTGACCCTACTAAGTGAACTCCGGCTTTTGGACTGCATGTATGTTTAACTGTATGTTTAACCATCAAGAGTAACCAATTTAGCTGTAAAAATGCTAAATATCTTTGCCATGCTTTTCTAATAGAACGTGTTTTCTTGCTGCCTGCCACTGTAATGTCGTTTGATCCCGAGTGGCCTGTGTGTGTGCACTCACAGTCGGCACAGCACACTCCGGAGCTACAGAGTTAGTGCTTCTCAAGTTTCAGTTTTTGGGGATTTGGCTACATGTAGTTCAGTTTCAACATTCTGACTTTGGTGTCGTCCTCAAGCCTAAATGAGAGGACACGGCAAGAAAGTTGCATCTGAATCCTGGAGGTTATTGTGTAGCAAATCATTAACAGGAGTGTGTGTGTGCGCATGTGTGCGTGTGTGTGTGTGTGTAAGTGTGTGTGACAGTACTCATGATTTGTTATGCAAGGAATGTCTTTGATGGGGCTGCAGTGTGGAGGAAAAGGCGTGAAAGTCTAATCCTTTCCCACAGGCCTGCCAGCGTCGGCTGAACCAGCCGCAGACAAAGGCCCTCCACATGCGCACACACAGACATAAACACAAACAGACACATGGGATTGTAGCAGCGCTTGTCTGTCCGAGCGGAAGGTCAGCGGCTGGATGTCCAGCCTACCGGGTCTACATGAAGAGCTGTCCATCTACACACGGGACAGTACTGGTGGTACGAGTGTGTGGGACAGGCTGTTGGGACTAAGCCGTGCTATGCTCTAAGTGGTCAGTAAGGCTGGACAAGAGCTAGTCCACCAATGTGTATAATGCCCCCAGTGCCCTGTTGTACTCCTGTGTTATGTATACACTCAAACAAATGAAGTTTTCTTGAATTTTTAAGAACATTTGGTGGTAAACAGATCATCAAATATCTTTACGTTGAATAACGGTTTTAGTTTGAATCCCTATACGATTATAATCTAAGAAAATAACATAATCATGCACAGATGTAGTTATTCTCCAAATTATCTTCTTATGTGTCCATCTTTTTTTCTGATTTGGCATCGGGGATGGAGAACAACTCCTAAAAGCATGGGTGAAGGATGCACACCCAACAGTAACTCCAAGTCTTTGGGCCTTGCTTCAGCCTTGCTTTGGCCGCTTTACTGACCATGCTGCTCCCAGCCTGCAGGGCTTTGTCCTCCACCTGGCCGGCATGCCAAAGGTCCAGGCTAACATGACCCCCAATTTATTTTTTAAAGTGCTGAGGCGGTTGGTGCAGCCAGCTTTCCGGGTTTTTGGGTTGGAGTGTCCTGGGGAACCAAGAACTTCCTGTGTGTATTTAACATGTTCTCCCTGTGTTGGGTTGATTTGACACTCCAAACTACCCTTAGGAGTGAGTGTGAGTGTGCGTGGTTGTTTGTCCTTGTGTGTCTCTGTGTGGCTCTGTGATGGACTGGCGGACCGTCCAGGGTGTACCCCGCCTCTCGCCCATTGACCACTGGGATGGACTCTAGTCCCTCACAACCCCATTAGGGAATAATGGATGGATGGATGGAGGTTTTATCCATCTGGTGTTTTAGTGGGCTGCAGTCAGCAAAGGCAGGGCTGTCTGCTGGTGGAGTTAAATGTGTGTACACCGGAAGTTCTGGGCATTTCTAACGGGAACCTTTCCGCAAAATCTTTTCATGTTTAATTTTTGGGTAACAGAACAATCGGTGGTTGATTTGAGTTGAAGAGATGAAAGATAGTTGAAAGATAATGATGAAATTGATTGAGTTGTTCTTGTTTTATTAAATGTATAATCATAATCATACTATTCCATGTACAGCTATAGTAAATAAATCCATTTTGTATCCCAAAGCTGTCAGTAGCGAGCCATCACACATCCTGGACAAATGTAGATTAGAGGATCAATACAGAGACACATGCAACCGAAGCTCAAATCCACTCCTAAGGTCAGTTTAGAAGCTTTAGATGTCAATTATGAAGGTGATTCAACAGAACAGAGATGGCTGCATGTGGGCACCTGGACATGTCCTCTTTGAGGAACCTTCAAACCAATGAGCACTTTGCCTGGTTCAGTATGGAGGCATTTGTTGAAGATAAAATATAAAAAGGAGTCAGTTAACCGCAAAACCTTTTATTTAGGTGTTTATTCTTAGTCACTGATTGGATTCTGCATGTGCAATTGGTGCAAACTTCACTTATGTAGGTTTTATCAGACAGCTAACTTTAAAAAACAAATTAATCGGATAAGTATAGTTAAACCCCTTTTTTTACAGACGTCTCCAACCATCTTGCTGGTGTGTGGAGATAATAGTAGTAAGTCGGCGAATAGGAAGCGCTTTGACTTCTGTGTGTTCTCGCTAAGAGGACAACCTGCTGCTCTCCATGGAGGCTCCTCCTCCTCCTCCTCCTCCTCCTCCTCCTCC